AAGAATATTCCTGAAGCCCATCCAAAGTGAAAGATCCTGATTTTTAGCTTTCGTGTGCATGTTGCCATTCATGCTTTAAGTTCTGTCCTCTCACAAGTTGTTTTAATGCCCTTCTGTGCTCCCTGTCCTGATGGCCACAAATGGGTGAATTATGTGCATGCAACCTGACTTTCCGCTGTCCTTTGCATTCCTTTTGTTATTTACTTGCAATGAAGAAAATGGACTGAGAAGTTGACAAGCAAATTGAAGCAAGATCCAGTACTTCATTTGGTGATGTTGTAACTTTAGATTAATGCTGCAAATGAGCAAGTAACTGACGAAAGTATGAGATAATAAAAGGTCAGGGCGAATGGATGGAGCTGAGCACTTTGAAGTCTGGCTGCTCTCTTTATAGCAGATATAATTGGGGTTGGATAAAATCTAGTATTAAAATTGTTTCTTCTTTTTCTTTTTTTTAAAGAACTTATGTTTTATGGTATGATAGAACTTCAGATTTTCCTACATTGTATTTCTCTAATGTCAGATATTTTTTGATATCAGCTTTTGATGAGATGTCTGATTATACATCCTGTTTTCCTCCCGTTCTTTGTTTAAGATGGTCAAATTCAGATTTTCTTTTAGATAAACCCTTGGCCTTTCATTTGCTTTTGCCTTGCAAAGTCATTTATTCCTTCAAGCCAGTCTGCAGCTCCAGCTGTGAATGTAGATGAATGTTCTTGCAGGGTCAGTAGTGTAGCACTGAACCAAAATAAAAGGATTAGCAGGAGTTCACTCGGAGTAAAAACTCCTAATTTCACCATAATAAGTACAAGAGACCATGAAGGAGGTAGGGGAGAATAAAGCTTTGCTATTAAAATTGCTAACAAATGGTTATTCAGCCCTACATGCCTCTGCCTTTCTGCTTCTGTGGTGCTTCTCAAATGGTAACGAAGGATGGGATTTAACTAATTCATGGGAGCACTTAAATCCGTGACTACTTTTTTTTTTTTTTTTAGTAAATTTAACTAAATCCTAGGAAAAATGAGTACTTCCTGATGTTTCATCACTTCACACAATCTTTAGCCTTTATGCAGATAGCTGTGGCTGGACTGAGCCTAACAGCTGTAAATGTTGAGCTTGTGTCTCCTTGCTCCTGAAGTGTGTGTTATTTCCTGCAGCCAATATAATCTGGTTTTAACTTCCTGGCAAGAACAAAATGCTGGTGGTGATTCTTCAGCTGCATACATGGGCCTCATGTTGTCTTCTCCAAGTTGTTAGCAGGTTTCTCTGAAAATGTCTTTTTATTTCCATTGCAAGTGTATCAGATAAGAAGAGCTCAATAACCTATTTGATGTAGCAAACTCTCATCTACAAAACATTCTTTTCCAACATAGTCACTGTTACCATTAACTATATATTTTACCGTTGATGAACAGTAGCCTGCATGCTGTACTTGTGAAAATCTGCATCAGCAGAGGAGACTTCCTGTGGCCTTTGCCACTGCGGAGACCCACGACCCACTGCCTCACTGTGCTCACATCCACTGTTTGGTCTCCATCAGCATTCAGAAAACACCAATGAATGTCAGTGGGTGTGATTTTTTCCACATGGAGGAATTCATTTCTGCACTTCCGTGTCAGACACCATTTTGTCAGGCTGCCCCTCTGGTGCAGTTTGTTGCATGGCAACTAAATGGAATAAGTTATTGATGGAGAGGTTCAACCTCTACTTCCATACCACCAACATCCACCTCTAAAGTCATAAATAATAAAATAGAAGGCATTACTTACAGAGTGGCCATTGTACGTTTTTCCAGGTCTGCTGGAGGTCAAAGAGGGTATATGGGAGTTCTTCCTCCAAAAAAGTTTTTTCTTATTGGCTGTTGAGGGCTGCCAAATGTGTTTTTGACTTTCCCAGCTTCAAATTGCCCTATTATCTAAGCATTCAAAGCAATACTTGCATCCGATTCCTTGGGAAGGAAAATGAGTGATTACACTTGAAATGTGACTGCATTGCTTAAGAAATGAGACAGAAGTCCTCTAATTCTAGTAGCAAAATCTCAGCTTTGTCACTCACTCCATCTGGCTGCAGAGGTGGCTCTGGTATGTGGGTAGCTAACTTCATTGGAGCCCTGGCTAGAAAATGCCACAGTGCCTGTCCATGTTGTCAGCCAGAAGCTCCTGGTGTTGTAGCCAAGGAATGAAGGCTTGTTTGTGAACAGTATCCTTCATAGTAAGAAGTGGAGGTGCTGCTTGGGCGCACACTTAGAACTAGAGAGCATTGTGGATTTTTTTTTTGTGCTTTTGCTTCTTACTTCAAAGACGCTGCCCTTTTGAGACCTGTTTGTGTCTATATTTGCAAAGAGATAATTTGCAAAATTATTCCTCTATCTTTGTTTCGTCAAAGCCTAATTCTTTTTCTTAGAGAATAGGGACAATGCTGTGTTGTGCTTCAACAATGGTTTTCATTTGTGACCAAATGAGAATCATGCTAGACTTTGCATGTTCATCTGCTCCTTTTATTCCTCTCCTGTTGTTTTCTTGCTTGCACAAATAGAAATGTGGCTTCAATTTGTCCTCCTCATGATTATGTTGTGGACCACCTTCTGAAACTGCGGGGACCACCAGCGGGCTGCAGAGAATGGCTGAGGAGCCACAGTCTGCACAGGAATCCATATAACCTTTTGGTTTTTATTATAGCCTTTCTCCAGCATCCTTCATCAAACGCTTCTGATGGTCTTTTGTTTAAAAAAAATCAATGTGGCTTTAATTAGTCACAAGCGGCTATGATCTTCTCAAGGTAGATACAACTTGTATTTAGATAAAATAGGCATATTCCTTCTTCTCAACTTCATTTTCATCTTGGATGCTTTGATTTTTCTGTCTGTCCATTCAGGAAGGCAGCCTCTGCTTTTGTATGGTCTTCTGTTTTTCCTATGTCCCTTCGTGTCCTCAGTGAAAAAGGTCCCTTCATGGAAATAACAGAGGCTGTGTTGGAAGAGACTCACATTTTGTGGAAACTGCAGTATTCCTGAGTGTGTTGGTTTCTCTTTAGTCTGATTAGGTTTCCAAAAACTTAATATGCTCCAAGGTGAAAATTTTAGACCAAAACCTTTCTAGGTAAAACTGTCAGTTCTTCACAGTCTTTTATATCTGCATTGAGTAGTTTGTGCTAACAGGATATACAGGAGGACAGAGGATTGCAGTTTTCTTGGAAAAGCCACTTAATAGCATGAATACGCATCAATCTTGTAAGTTGTATTCTAACTAAAACTAACACTAGCAGTTAAAGCCTGTTAGGTTTTCAGTCAGTCACCACTTGGAAAGGTGATGTAGGTCCTTTTGTTTCACAATATCCTCAGTCATGGAGGATGAAGAGATGTTTGTTCTCTGTAAGCTGCAGCTGGATGACCACACATTGTCCCATCTTTGCTCTGTCTTGTGTGTGGGCACTGTCACTGGAGGCTGAGCAGGTTGTGTAGAAGTAAAAGAAGGTATGCATATTAGCCAAGATGGGCTTTTGATGCTACTGTTTTACTGGAGGAAATTTTACTTGACTGTTTGATTTGAGAGGCAGTGATTTGACTTTTCATTTAAGCAGAGCAACTACAAGGAGTCAGTGAGTCAGTAACGAGATAAGAACATCACCTGACCTTGTCATTTTTCTGACCACGTCCTGTAGATTGCTAAAATAGCTGTGTAGAGTTAGAAGGGATGTGAGTTAGAAAAATGATTGCGAATCTACTTTTCCTTGTCAGAGGAACTTCTAATTTTTATGCAAGCATGCATGTACATTCTGATTAGACATAAATCCTATAGAAAATGGGATAGATATCTCCATGTGGATTGTCATATTACGACATTAACATTGGTTCGTAATATGTGAAATATAGCAAAAAAAAACATTGTAGCCATCTTCAGGTGATAATTTGCTGGACTTATTTACTGGAGCAGAAAGCTTAGGTATCTATGGGCTATAACTGTATTGAAGTATCAGAACACAGAATGTCATTTCATGTGTTGTAGACGGCTAAGATTTGAGTAGAACCAATTGAGAGTTTGCATCTTGTACCTTCATTAAGGTAACTGAGTATAGGGAATATTTGTGTCTGTGATATAGATGCAATTTACACATGTAGGCATGCTTTTATGAAAAATTATTTTTCTTCTCTTCTAGAAAATGTGTTTTGCCAATGACATTTACAGTGATATGCTATCAAACCTGGAAATGCTATATATGCCTACTGCATATTTACTCTTGTAATCAAGCAGATGTATGCAACATTAGTGTTGGGTATTTTTTCCAATTTAGCATCTCATTTGCAAAGAGAAGACTTTGTGGGGATACTGCAACTTGGATTAGTTATGTTGTGTTTTATCAAACTTGTTTGGTGGTTCTAAAGTCACACTACAACTCTGAAGAATGCTTTGTCTGGAATTTTAAAGTATTCTTTATACCTAGATGTTTTAGAAAAATGGAGCTTTCCAACTCAAATTAAAAAAAAAAAAAAAGGGAAACTTAAGAAAATCCATGTGTTTCACATCTGGCTTAAATCATTCTTTCTGTGAAATATAGCCATGATTTGGAAACATTATTTCTTCTCTGGTGAGAACTGAAAAACTTCTCTGTACACAGTCTGAATTAATATCCACGCGTGAATATGTGGACACAGCATAGTTGCCAAATCATGGAACCGAGTAGGGATAACTGCATTTCTTTTGGTATAGCTATCTTTGCAAATCATTGTGTTGTTTGTTTGTGTTTGTTTTTGGGGTTTTTTTTTTTTTTTTTTTTTTTTTTCCCCCAGTCTTGTTAGTAATTGAATTTTGTGTTGTTTTAGCTCTGGCTCAGCTGAATGCACCACAATTTTGTTGTTAAAGAAAAAGTTAGTTTGGAAAAAAGAACAACAACAACAAAATCCTTACAAGTGTAAGGAACTCTGAAGCAAGAATCTACTATTTGCTGTGGGATCGGTGACTTTGCATCATGTAACTTGCTTATATTTCTTTTTAAACATTTAGGAACTCTCCAGATCTTTTTTGTTGTGTGATTGCTGAAGCATTTTCCTGGCACAGCAGTAATGATTGATGAACACACTTCAGGTAGGAAACCAGATATATTCCATTCAGTACAGTTGTTCATTAACTTTCCTCACATTGTTTTGGTTAAGTTTCAATAGTAGCACTCTTCAACATTACGGCATCAAAATTCACTGAGTATAAAATATAAATAATCTCGTGTCCACATGAATGTTTGCATATGTCTCTCTGTAAATCATCACGAACAGGTTTTTGGTTTTCCTCCCAGGTTTGGTAACTCTGACAACAGATGACGTTACATGTTAAATTGGGTTTTAATGATCGAAAGATTATTGTAAAATACAGTCTGTCACTACTAATTCTTCCATCAACCCACCTGCTCCTTCAGGAATTAGTTCCATCTACTTTAACTTATACCAGATTGGAACATCTATTCCAGAAGGCTTTGCTTCTCTTAAGCCACAATTTCTCTGCCGAAAAATAAAATTCTGAGGTTGACCCCTTACTAAACTTTTTACCAGTTGGTCTGTTCATAGTTGTCTAAAAATATCACCGTAAAGAGGGAAGTAAAAATTTTTTTTGTATATATGTAGTGAATTCCAGTCTGTCCCACTAGGGAGATACTGGATCCAGCAAATTCTTTTCTGCTACCCCACGTGATTCAGTTTTGGTCACTCAGATTTTGCACAAAGATCTGTAGTGGTCATGACTTGCCTGATGAAGGTTTCTGCCTTTTCTGCCCATATCTCAAATTTTAAAATAGAGACTTCATAAATTTTTTCTTTTTTTTTTTCTGAATAAATCCATTTCTATAAAAGAAATGTTTACGCTGAAACCCCCAACAATGCAGTGCAAATAGAGTGGAAAGATGTTTTTTAGCATAAAGCTGCAAAATCCTTTTTCTCAGTCTTGTCATGTATGAAAGTTATCTGACGTTGATAAACTATAAGATTATCAGTAATATGTAGTTATCGTCTGCAATTGATTAGACCTGTGGGTACAAACGAGCTGCCTGCAGTTGTAGTCTTTATTCTTGCCTCTGTATAACGTAATTTTCTTCATTTACTTTTGAGTTTAATTTTGTGTTAGCAGTTACAGCTATAGGCCGGAATATAAGGACAATTTCTGAGTATCTTGAGTGGCTTTGAGCATTGTGCCAATCCAGGGAATGCTGTTCAAGTTGTTGATACTTTTGGAAGTTAACCCGATCTCATAAGCCTAACCAAAGGCAAGCAAGTAATGTTGTTTTAGATTCGATTTTTGCACTGTCACAGTCTTCCTGGGAAGCCAAGGGTGAATTCTTCAGTCCCCACATCAGTGGGAAGTAAGTGCCTGGGTACCTATGTGCTTGTATTCCTAATAAAGAAAATTAGGAGGATGGTGCACAAAAAAGTACTCTGGGCAAAACTCCTGGGCCCAGGGGTGCATTGAGCTCTCTTTCCATATGGGCCTTGTTATACTGGTAGTGTAGAACTGTTGGGAAGTTGCTGCGCAGAGTTGCTAAGATACATTTCAGCTGAAGCAAAAGAGTGGTGTCTGAGTACATGACCTTTATTTTTGATGTCCAGTTGTCCTTTTTTTTTTTTTTTCTTCCTTTGCAAGAGTACTGTGGAGATGAGAATGGCAAAGACTGCACTGTGTCCATGTGGGAGCCAGATGTCTACCTTGACTTCAGATAAGGGTACAAAATACCCAGATGGATGACCTTGGGGTGTTACTTTGTTCTGCAACTACTCTGGGTTGTAAGAGCGTAAACACAACAAACACATCAAAGTGTCGTTGTTGGTTAGACTGAGAATCCAGTTTAAATCTAAACCTTTAGTAAGGCATAGCAGGCTACTGTCCTAGAGAGAGTGGCTGGTAGCTGATGGCAGAGGAGGAGAAGGGTGCAAAACATGCTTGCTTTCCATCTCAACTGCTTGTTATCTACAGATGAAGGATATCTGTGTCATTGGTGGTCTCTGTGGTGAGTAGCCTTGCATATAGTTCAGCCCTTCCATGAATTTTTTTGGGGCTACGTTCTCATCCCAGATGGTTTCTGGGCCTTGTGATTCTGCACCGTTCAGAATTCCCCAACTGAATGCAATGCAGTGAAGGGGGGAGCCCTCCCTGTCTGTGCCTTAAACCTCCTGCTTGCTGGTGTCACTTAATCTGGGGACTCAGACAGTGTGCCTGGAGAACCAGGAGGTGCACAGTGCCCTTTCTGCTCTGGTGGGAGAGTGGAAATAGGGGGTGGCTGCTAAGTTTTAATGAAAGTATCTTTTTAAAGAGTTATGAAGTGAAAGGAAACTGAAGGATTTCTGTGACTCTGATTAGTGTCACCTTCAAAACATACAGATTTGAAGCAACTTTTCACATCTGCCTTGCTTTTGTCTTTGAGCTCATTTTCCATGCTTTTAATTAATACGTATATTATTTTATTTTACACGGAGATCAAGTAATTTGGACTTGTGTGTTCATTTTGTTCCACTCTTCTGAATTTCAGAAATAAAAGAAGATGCTCAGTCTCCCAAGCTATGAGGCAGTTACCCTGGCAGGTTTTTTCTGATAGAATTCAAGATTGGGTGGAAGAAACTACCTAAGTTGAAATATCATAGGAACATGCACTCTGAATTGAGCCTTCCAGCAACGCATTAAAACATAGGACTATTAATCAGAATGTATTTCTATATTATATATAAAAATAAAAGGATATATGTCCTTTAAAACGCTACTGTCAGCTTCACAGAAATTTAGGCAGGTTAAAAAGAAAAAAAATTGTTTAATAGTGTCTTTGCTGCAGAATCACTGTGTCGAAGACCTGACTCCATGTGTAGCAACATCAAGGCTATAAAAGGGAGTATGAATATTGTGTAAATTCACTTGACTTGGTTAGATGGCGTGTCGCAAAAATATATTGAGCAGCATATATAATATTAACTACTGCAGTAGAATTGTCAAACAGAAGGCTGCAGATTCTGTGCTGAAGAGGATTCTTTTTTGGGGAAAAAAAAAAAACCCCGTAGGTGTATTAAGTAGTGAATACAGATTGCTATAGTTTTAAGAGTGAAGGCTTTTAAAATTATGGGAAAGCAGACAGAAGCAAAAACAACGATTAGCTAAAACCTAGTTGAAGGCTAATAATTTAATTATACTGATTCTCCTTCTTGGCAGAGAGTATTCTGGAGGAAAAAAATATTGCAGCTGGATAAAAGTTGGGTTTATTCTTGCTCTCAATTTTTTGGTTTTCTTCCAGATGCAGTGAAGGTCTTGGACTTGCTATTTGATCCTGATTACAGAGCCAACTTAATATTGTACATGTAGTTTTCATCCAGTCTGCCCTCATTTTTCCTTCTGTGCTTGTATTTGAGAAAGAAAATCATAAGACAGCTCTTGCAGAGGGCCACCTTATTGCCCAGGGCCTTCAGCTGGATCCTTGTAAGATAGAAAGCAAGTTGGATGCAGCATTACCACTTATGGATTTTTCAGTTGAGGACAACTGCCTTGCCTTTGTTCTGATGGCTCATGAGAAAGCACACAAAAGGCTGCTGAGACATCTTTCTCACTTAGAGAAAACAAACTGGACGCCTTGTTCCTCAAGTCCCCAGAGATGTGCAGGCGTTTGCCTTTGAATCATAGAATCATAGAATGGCCTGGATTAGAAAGAACCACAGTGATCATCTAGTTTCAACCCCCTGCTATGTGCAGGGTCCCTTCTGGGAAGCTGCTGGATGCTGAATTTGCCCTTAGCAAGACCAGATGGTTAATGGAGAGCAAACAGAAGAAACCTCAAATGATGGGCCTTGCAAGACTGAACTGTGGCTGGAGCAATTGCTTGCTGTTTTAAGTATTCAAAAAGGCTTGGTAAGAAAGATAGCAAATGCTCTGTGCTTGCCTTTGCAGGAAGGAGTGGCTGAGAATGTTTGGAAGAGGAGAAACTGAGCTGGCCAATTTGATTAGATTAAAGAGAATAAGGCTTATTCACAGATCATCTGGATGCATGTGAATATGCAGAGCTAGATTGTTTCTTGATGGAAATTTGTACAAAATTGAAAAAACAGAGCAGAGGTTTTTTTTTTCTTTTTGTAACAGGATATAACTGACTGTAAACTTTGGCAAGACTTGAGTGCCTGAATGGCTCTTGAAACTGTCAGTGTTCTTCTAAAATTGATTCTAGAACAGGGCTAAATGAGAAACTTTTCTAAATTTTCCTTCATGTTAATTAGATGAAAGAGTAAGTTTTATATTTGTCCAGAAAGTGGTCAAAGCAAGCAACAAATTGAGTATAGGAGAGCCAAACAAGGATAAGAAATGAACCAGTTTCTCAAACCGGCAATGGCATACTAGGAGTTTGGAAAAAGTATACTTGCAGGCTTCCTTTATTATTATAACCTCTTGAACACAATAATCCAGTCCAAACAGCTATAAATGCTTTCCAATAGAGAAGTTTATGACCTAGTTTCAGACTGAAATGCTCACAGTATCGCAGTGTGTGGAAGGGACTTAAAAGAAGATGCTAGTGGCAATGCCTCTGGAGCAACTCTGTGTATTTAGGCATTCCTGCTCTTTGCAAATACTTGCTAAGTGGAGTCAAGTGGAGTCAGCTTCCAACGTGTGGGGCTTTTTTCTTCTACAGGAGACTTCATAATTTAAATACCCGGGTTGGCATGGGGAGTTTTCATAGGATGTCTGATTTTTATTTTTTTTTAAACATAGCGCTATTTGGAAAAATAATCGTTCTTCCAGTTATTTCAACAGGAATTCAGCAATTACAGAATGCCTCTCTACATCCTGTGGTCCTCTGGAGCAGGGAAGCAGGAAAAGGTGGATTTCATCTGTTGACAATTCTTCTGTAGTGAGATGAAGAAAGCTTTGATTAGGCTTCATTTGATTCATGATCGTTCTGCAAAGAAGTTCAAGGGAATGTGCTGAGGGGGTAGGCACAAAAAACATTGAACCTGTGATTTAAACAGCAGCTTGTTTTAAATTGAAGAAATGTTTCTGCACTTCTGTACGCTCTTGCGGTAGGCATTGGAACAAACCAGATTTTGATAAAGATGACCTAGGGAGAGGCTGGCCAAGCTGGTGGTTCTGTGGCGGAGCACAGAACGGCAGCACTGAACAACATGAGCTGTTGGAAGTTGGAGGATTTTGATAGTATTCCCTTTTCCTTTGACTTGCTGGTATCACTGAAAGCAAGGGAGCTGTGCTGATCAACACTATTTATCCGTTTCTTCTGCTCCCTAAGGTAGGCTGGAGTATTCTTGAGAACATAGATCATTTATACCTCTGCCAAGAAACATTTCTGCACGCTACTAAAATACATTAAATAATATTCGGTTTGCATAGCAAGAGCTCTAGTTAAAATTCCTACAGTGTTTCAGTTCTTCTTTTATTATTCCAGTTGCTTATAACTTCCTGAAATGTTCATGTCTCAAGTTGAAATTTTCCAGACTTAATCTTGGCCTGACAATGACCTTTCTTCCCTTTTCTTCTTTGTTTCTCTATTCTCTGAGGTATTAAGTGAATATGGCTAGGACGTTTCATTTTTAATGAGAAGAAAGTAGTAGAAAAATATGTTTTGGTTATTGCTTTAAGATTCTGAGATTATGAATAGCTCAAGTGGTACAGCTGTTTGAGAAATGGTGGTGAAAATCCTCAGAAGGGCTCCTTAAATCTTTGCAGAATAGTAAGAATTGGCCACTCAAAAGGGCTGTCAACTATAAGTCTTAAAACTTAAGTTCTTTTTTTCCATCATTATGCTCTTTCATAATTATCACTTGCAGTTAATTTGGCCTGATCAGTGAATTGGCTGTTAGAGTCAAATGAAGGAGTTACCCTTGCTGAAAGAACAGATGTGTTTTTCATTGCTTGCCACAACGCTGGTGGACAGAACTCATAATGTAAGACTGGAATAGCACAGCTTGCGAGTGCTGCACTGGGACCTGCTGCCTTTGGGGCAATCTTCCTGCTCTAGCCAGGGTCAGTTCTGGTTGAAAATGTTGAAGTTCTCAGAAACTGTTCTAAACAGAAAGCTGTGCAAAACAAATCTTTCTTTTAAAAGAAACTTTTTGACCGGCTCTTCTCAAGAAGAAGTAGTTTAGAGCAGAACTTTAGAGAAGGGGATTTATACTTGGGATAGAAGAAAACTGTGAGGTGTTTTCTTTTAATATTGCTTACACAGGTTTATGTGTAGACATTTTAAGACCATTGATGTTGATTGTATTGATAAACAGCAATTTGTGTTTTCATCGTAAGATGTATTTCAAGGAAGAAAAAGTCATGTATCTGATAGCTGACTTGCACGCAGTCAGTCCTTCCCTGTAAGATTAAGATATTTGCAGAGGATGCCCACTGCGCATGTTTGTGTAAAATGCTTAAAGAAGCTTTTAATTTCTGGAACTAGCTTCTGCTCACGTCTTTTCCATGGGCAAATCACTTAAAATCCATTCATGAATCGTCTTGGTTCCTATTGTTAAATGGATGTGTCTTCTTCCCATTGGCTAATGCAAGTGTCTGCCTCTGACAATTTCAGGGCAGCAGAATGCAGAGGATGAGCACAAAACTGCGAGCAGGTATGATAGAGACTTCCACACACCCTCCTACTATTAAACATGTGTGAATTCCCCAAGTCTGAGTCTTCCATGCAACGTCGCAATTCAGTGTTCCTTTAGAGGACTGAAGAAATTTGACTGCTTGTCATAAGCTCACTTTGATCATCTGCAAGATTGCCCCTTCCAGGATTCTGAGAGCTGCTCCTTCAGCAGCACATCCAGAGGATGGGTAAAAGTACAATGCCCACGCCATAAGCTCAGCTTTTCATATCAATGGAGAAGACTTGCTGCTTTTTTTTTTTTTGGTTAATAGTATTATACATATGGCTACCTTAATTTATATAGGTCTTATTTTCATTTTCATCACCACCTCTTCATGCACAGCTCCATGTCATTCTGACTGCTCACTTTTTTTTTTTTTTAAGTTTCTCATTTATTTTCCTGCTATTTCAGAAACTGGTCTCTGAATAGCTTTCCAAAAATAATTTTCCCTAGACAATACGTTTTCTGTTTTTATGGAATTGCTGCTGGTGGCTCAATGGCTTTAAATTCTTGACAGTGGTGAAAGCAGTTTTGAGCTATAAGATCAGGCTGGATCACTTCCTGCCTGCTCCATCAGGTAAAACAGTAACATCCAAATGAAGAAGAGTCTTTTGTTGAATGCTGAGGCAGTTTGTTTCAGGGTTCTTTGATTGTATGCAGGTGATATAACAGAAGATTAAGAGAGGGCTCTTCTGGCCTGAAGGAGAAAACCCTTATGTTTTATTATAAATTCCTACACTTTGTGTCTGACTTCTGTGGTTTCCTGGCAGTTAATTCTTTGCAAAAACTTGAGCAGTCTGATGTGGTTAAGAGGGATACCAGTATTTTGTTATCTTTACGTGACCGTGTTAACATGTACTTTTTTTTCTTTTTTTTTTTTTTTTAAAGAATAGAAAGTTTAAAAAACAAGCCTTGAAGTACTAGAGACAAGAGTGACAGAATTCTGGCCAAATGTTAAGCAAAGATGTGGGCAGACTGGCCTATATGCTGTTCATTCTCAGCAATAGCAAATTCTGTACTGCTCAGGTGAATGATCAGTGCATTTATATAACTTGTTTTTCCTCAGTTGTGTTGCCTCCCTACCAGCACTTTATACATTGCACAGGTATGGCTGCAGAATTTAAGACAAGAAATATGGAAGTCCAATCACAACCACTTATAAAATTAATCGAAATCTATTTGCTGCACCACAGAATGAAGCAACTGTCTCAGAGTGGCATTGATCTGTCATAAGAAGCCATCTGATACTACAGCATCAAAGAAAGCTGCTCTTTCTTGCCAGTTTATGCCTGCAGAACAGGACAGGCTGTTTTCTCTAAATCTCAGCCACCAAACTTTGGACCAACTTGTCCTTGCATCAGCGTTCTTGTCAAGCGTCATCCTTCTGACCAGCTATGGAGTGAGTCACGAGCTTCCTAACTTGTGTCAAACATAAACGTCTGAAAAGTTTGGAGCCTGCTTTTGGAGAAAAATCTTGGATTCTGCAACCAACTGTGCCTCCAGATACATGGAAGATGACTAAAACAGAACTGCCTTCAACAGGCACAGTGAACATCAGTTTCAGAAGTTAAAAAAAAGTCTTATCTTTAAAGCTAGTCTTGCTCATCTTAATGGAAACAAGTAGCTTTGGTACTGGCAGCAGGTAGTGACTCCCACTGAAAATACAACACATGGGAGTGCAAGAGGTGTTAGGTGAGCTAAGTAATCAAAACTGCTTGGAAGACAAGTAACATGCTTCTTGTGATTTCTGGCATTGAAATTTCTAGTTTAGGTTTGTTCTCTTTCATGGTGACTGTGGGATTGTACTTTCAGTTAAATTCCTGTAAAGTTTTTGAAAGATAAACATTTATTTCCATCACAGATACTGAAGAGAGGACTCCATTATTGGGAGTGCTCAGAAACGTGATATTTTGAAATTTTTGGCCTGACATGTCTCAATTGTACACTTAGCTATGTTTTTTCAGGGTCACAGTTAGACTTTGGTTCATTTTGTCAGCTGTAGAATATTTGGAGTGGATTACAAACAGGAACGTGGAACTAATTTTATCGTGTTGATTTTATGTTCAGTGACTTCTGCGCTGGTCTTTAATTTGTCATCTTCACTCTAGCTATGGGCTCAAGTATTCCGACATTCAGAATGGGCCCTGGTATTAGAGACTTCAGTAACAAAAGTCTTTTTGTCTTTGAGCATTTGAAAACTGACAGGCCATCCTTTAAACTGTTCGATCAAATTTAACGGGGATTGATGGTCTTATCTCGTTTTTTGTCAGTTTTCTACACATTATTAAGCAGTTTATGGTGATGAGTACTTCAGAAAAGTCAGTTTAACTTGTGAAATGCCAGTCTGCTAAAAACATCCTTTGTCACTTCCCCAGCCCCCACACCACCTCTTCTTACAGACATGCTCTAGGAGTTAATAAAAAACACACCAGACAGAAAACCCAGTGTAGGGAAAAAAAAATCTCCCTGAGAGAGCTGTAGCAACTCCCACGCAATAAATTCACAGCTGAATGAACACTGCTGCTGTTTTGCCTAGGCAAGGATCAGAATTGCTTTTTTTTTTTTTTTTTTTTTTTTTTTTTGGTGTCTGGCTGTTTGTGTGAATATGCCCCTGGTGCCTGACCTCCTTCCCCACCTTCCCAGGCCCCGCAAAAGTGACTGTAATCCTCCTGGCTCCAGTTGTTTCCTCTGGCAAAACACATCAGCCCTTAACTTGTAAGGCGTCCCGTTGCACAGATGTCCTGGGGAGGATGGCCTTCTCCCCATCCCAGTGCTCTATGGGTTGACTTCCTCTTCTCCATGTGCTTGGGAGTGACTGATCTTGGATGTGTTAGTTAATTAAACTGGACTGGATAAATTTGTTTGAAGACACAATTTTATTTTTATTAATCTTTATTTATGAATTACAATTAGCATGTAGGCTTTCTTATCAGAAGAAGTTAAGTGTAAATAGCCTTTTTTTTTTTTTTGTAAGGAAGGGAAGAAGGTGGTAGCTTATCTCTGTAAGGAAGCTGAAGGTTGCCTTAGGGAATGCACCCCTGTGTACTGCTGCCCTGAGTTGAGGGGGTGAGCTGAGCCTCGGAGTTGTGCCCTGGTGCTGATGTGTTGTATTTAGTGGGTGTAGAATCATAGACTACCCTGAGTAGGAAAGGACCCATAAGGATCATCGAGTCCCGTCCCTGGCTCTACACTCAACCACCCAAAATTCAAACCCTGTGTCTGAGAGCATTGTTCAAATGCATCTGGGACTCTGGCAGCTGGGGGCCATGATCACTGCCATGACGAGTCTGTTCCAGATCCTGACCACCCTAATCAAGAACCTGTCTTCAACATCCAGCCTGACCCACTCCTGATGCAGTTCCATGCATCCTGCCACTATCACCAGGAACATCAGTGCCTTACTTTCCACATCCTTCTTTAGAAAGTTGTAGGCTGTTCTGAGGCCTTTCGTCACTCCCTTCTTCTCTGGACTGACCAAGCAAAGGAACCTTGGCTGCTCCTTACATGTCTTGTCCTCTAGACTGTTAACCATCTTTGGAGCCCTCTTTTGCACACTCCAATAGCTTTATGTCCTCCTTATAATGTGATGCCCAAAACTGCATGCAGCAGTATTCCTCAATATGAGGAGTGAACTGGAAAATATTCCCTGTTAAAAGGTGATGACCTGGCTGTGGCAAGACAGAGCAGTGCTCCACGTTGGGATGTCTTCAGGCAGAGACAAACTAGTGAAATGACAGACCTTTGAAAACCAGCGTTCTGGAAACTCAGAAGTGGGAATTTTGCCACAGCCGAAGTGGAATAGAGCAGGAATATGATCTTGTTGGCAGGTTTGTGTTGCTGTTGTCTGATGGAGGTTATGCTTACCTTGCTCTACTGGCATTATTTATGGTGCTGTATAGGGAGAGAGACTACCCATGACAGAAGTGTCACAGTAAGAAACTTCCTCACTCACTTTGATCTCCCTGCTGTCTACCCTTTGGGAGCAGATTGCAGGTGGGGGAAGTGATGTTGGTGGCAGAACTGCAGCTCTATAAGTTCAGCCATGCCAGAGATGAGGCCTGCTTCAAGCTGTCTCATGGTCGTGCCCCTCCTCTGATCCCAATCATTAAAAGATAAGATTTTTTGAAATATCCGCAATTGTTCCCCCCCACTCCTGGCTGGAGCAAACCACTTGGCATACAGATGTGGGAACACTTGAATAGGTTTTTCAATGAGGAAGAAATGCTGAGCTCCTAAGATGTATAATTCATACAGAATAATCATATTTCACTTGCAGAGTGCTGGTAAATGCCACTTTTTTTGTATCCTGGTCAAGGGCATGCACCAGTAAGCTGGGAAAAGGGAGTTTGGTGACAGTATTTGTTTCTCCTTAGGAAAAAAAAACAAAAACAAAATAAAAATAAAAATACGTGTCAGAGAGGAAGAGTCCGGGCTTCACAGAGTTTCCCAATTGTGCACTTGGTTTAAAGCGTTCTTATTTTTTCTTTGAGCACAGTGTTTCAAGTTTCGAGCTACGTACTTTTCAAAAAGTGAGTATGGGTGTTTTGCTGTTTAGAGGAGACACCCTGTCACCATGGTGTATATTCTGTTGTCTGTTCTTGCTGAGTTCCTAGTAAAGCAAAAAAGAAATTGGAGGCTTTCTGTATTTTGAAGAAACTTCACTAAGGCCTATGTCAGAAGGAAAAGCTCAGTACTTATTCCCCATTAAGATCTAATGGACGTGCCAAAATAGCAGGCAAAGTTGAGGGCTTTTGATTCACATGCTGTGCTTTCTGATGGAAGAGTATGAAAGTAGCCAAAGTAATGAGATTTTTGATGCTTTGGTTATTGGAAATGCTTTGGAGAGGTGTGCAGAACGGTACTGCACATGCTTTTGTTTGGAGCCAAGTTCTCCTCAGCTTGATTTATTTTTTTTTCTTTTTAAATTGGCAAACATAGCATTTGAGTATAGATGTGTGCTGTAACATTTTGTCACTGTAAGAAAAAATAGCTAGACTCTGGGTCCTGCATGTGAAACCAGCTCCTGGACTTATGGGCTTAGGTCCTTCTTAAAGTGCTGTTCTCCTGAATGGGGCTGGGAATTCTCTTGAGTTTATGTTCCAGGTAGGAAGCTAGACTTGGATGTGTCTGGATCTCTACAAGCAAGTTGCAAACCTTTGTGAACCTCTGTGAGAGTAGAGCAGTTGTGTGACTTGCTTATTAGGGGAAAGCCTGGTAATTTTGGACTCACTTTGAATAGCTCTTTCACTCTAGGCAAGCCTTTCTGTTTTCACTATTTCGTCAGTTCTTACTGAAACATCCCACTAAAAGTGGCATAAAATCTTGTCTTTTTTAAGATTGCCCATAAAGAAAGCCGTAATATGGACGCTGAGTAGAAAGATGTGCTCTTCTGTTCATTCATAGGACAAAAACTAGAATGGATTAGCTCCATTTGTGTGTTCTCTACAGTAAGGTAACAGTGAAGTGATTCAGATTATCACGTGCAGTTCTCTTGAATCTTATTCAAATTGAGATGAAATTTGCTATGTAAGTGATGATACAGCGTATGTGGAAATGATACCGTTAAAAACCGTGGCAATACCTTGCATAATTTGTACCGGTTGACATGCAAAGCAAAGTTTTTCTCTTAGAAAAGAGTTTTTGGCCAAGTTCTACTTTTTCAAATGCACAGAGACATAACAGACGTTTCTACTGCTTTTGCTGAAGTAGGTTCAAAGTTTTGCTTATACAACTGAGAGGAGACACTCTGGTCTATAGTTATGCATAAGGTATGCATTTTACTATTGTTTAAAAGGTTGCAAACTTTCAGTACTCAAGAGCTGCTATTTTAAATACACTTCATTTTTATCTGCAAATCCTCCCACTTAATTTACTTTAAATTTTAAAGCAGCTGCGATTGCCTTCTCTTGTCTGCAGCTGTTCCCTTTTACTTGAAACCTGGACTGACGGAAGCAGTTGGTCTAGACGTTGTTGGTTTACATTGAGGGGAACTTGCTCACTGATCTTTTGGTGCTAACCATAGACGTGAATGCACACATACCTCCAGTATGTGGGATGTATGTTTAGAGCAGATTTCACAGTGTGTTGTAGTCTACAAAGCCAAGCAGAGGAACAAGGCTCTTTTTGCATGAAGATCTCACAAAATGCAATTAAATAAAGCTCCATATCCAGTAACACTTTTCATCTGGCTGCCTAGGCAGGTAGCTCTGCTCTTAAGCCAAGCAATGTAGGGGCTGGATTGCAGTGGTTTACTGTTTTGTTTTTTTTAATCTTAAAATTCCCCATTGTAATTTCACAAGCAGACTGAAACTTGTAGCGCACACTTGTGCTAGACAGAATCATGTCCCCATCTCATTTTCTGACACGGATTCTTGAGCTAAAGAGGAACTGATACCGATCTCTGAATAATGACCCCATAAATTAGGAGGCTGTGATTCTCCGAGGATGCTGATATGGAGCCATGCTGTATGTTCTCTGCAGGGTTGCTTTTTGTGAGCTTGCACAGAAGGGATGGAAGGGTGCAAAGAATCTAAAGCCAAACAAGTCAGTCTTTTTGAGAAGCAAATGTTTATTGAAATTGGCTTTAATTTAGGTGCCATACTAGGGGAAGAATTGTTGTGGTATTTAGGCATAACATTGACTTGAGCACAATGCTGTGTGTCTTCCCTTAGATCTGTAAGACAGCTCTGGATGTGCAGTGTATTGCTGCAGCCAAGGTCAGATGCAGGTCATGGGTGTGTGTGTGTGTGTATGTGCAGACTATCTATAGCAGTGTATATCAAAAGCATCTGCAAGCTGCAGTGCTCTGCCAGTATCACTCCAGTGATTTGAAACATCGCTAGGCTTAAAAAGAAAACACATTTTCTCATGGTGGTGACTGTTCGAGGGTGTAATGGATATTCTTAACTGTAACAGGAAAGCATATGTAGTAATTAAAACACAGAGCTGGAGAATTACTCAAATTTGGCAAAAATGCTTGAGAAAATATCTGCTTTAGCTGTAGATATAAATGAAGCGCTTGCCAAAATTACTTTCAAAGGCTTTAATTGCATCTGTTTTAGTTTAGCTTGTAAAATGCAGGATACTGTATTTTTAATATAAATGTGATTCATGGCCAATCTGTGGATTGCGTTGTTCTTCCAGTAGGAACGCTGTATGTTAAGTGGGATAACTGGAAACTTCCGTTGTGAAACGCTGGCAGCTCTGGGGCAGGGCATGCTTTCCAGAATTGCAGGTTCTCAGCATATAAACGGCTGGTGGGGGATCATTGACTGAGATGAAGAGCTTCTCAGAGTATCCTAAAGCTGGCCACTTGTAAGCTAGAAAAAATAAAATGCTTGAGCTCTTCAGTGTTTGTTTTGTCTCTAGTTGAGCTTTTCCACGTGAGGAAGAGACCTCACATTTGTGTGCAGGTTCGTTGCCATATTCTGTACCGCCTGGTAGCTGTGGTGGTGACACATCAGTAGTCAGTAATGTAAATGCTATCATGTGAAGGTAGGGTCCAAGGAAGAGACTGGCCATTCAGCAAGCTGGTCTGCTCAGAA